GGTCCATTTGGCCATCTATAGAAGACTATATCAAAAAAGAGTTAATTAATCGTGTCATGCTAATATAAAGTTTTCGGTTTTTCAAATATGTTATTACTATTCATAATATTTTAGCTGTTGCCATTACAACTTTTCAGATATTGGATATATGTGGCTACTTGCCAATATGATGCATTTAACAAAACATAAATACTAACTTATCTTTTTCTTCTTGCTTTGTCTCTTCCCATTCCTCTTTTCATCTCTGGTGCCTTTCATCTCCCTTGTGCACCTCAACCTGATCCCACATGAGTACCCACACCATCGTAGCGCCTCACCTCCTCCGAGACACTCCCTGACAGTTGTCGTCACTGTTACCTTCATCTCCTACTCGTTGGGATCTGAGGACGGCGCAAGGCGGAGGTGGGTGGAGAGGGTGGCCCACGATTGCCTAGGTTCACTAGACAATGGGAGAGAAGATAATCGAAGGAAAAGGACAAGGAAAGAAGAGATCAAAATGAAAAAGCTAAAGAGATATTCCCTTCGTCCCCAAATATAAGCATTTTTAGTTCTTGACACGGTCTCCGAGATGCTATTTTGACCAACAATATCTGTAAAACTAAGATGTTTTAAATAAAAAATATTGTATATTATAATAGTTTGTTTAATGGTAAATCTAGTAACATCAACTTTACATTATTGATCTTTTTTCTTTTTGTTATTAACGGTCAAAGTTAAAAATATTTAACTTGTCACTATGCTAAAAATGCTTATATTTTGGGATGGAGGGAGTACGAGATGGGAATGAAGATGACAAGCCGCAAGATCCAAATCCTGAAGGGGAAGAAAGGGCTGGAAGACAATAAACACAAAATGAATGAACAAGCCATGGGCAATTCAGTCCAAAAATGTTAGACAATGCATTGAAGGTCAGGCTGAATTCTTTCACAACTTTCTCAACTCACCTACCTCGTTTTCTACGCGTACGCTTTTCAAACTGCTAAACATGCGTTTTTTACAAAAAAAATTTCTATACGAAAGTTGCTTTAAAAAATCATATTATTTCATTTTTGAAAAAAATAATAAATACTTAATTAATCATAAGAAAATACGTTGCTCCGTTTTAAGTCGTGGGAGATGAGTTTCCAACCTCACCTTCCAAACACAGCCGAAGTAGTGGCATATGTCGAAAAAATATAAAATTATAATGGTGTGGCTCTAAATAAGTGAATAGTAATGTGGTATTTTCAAACCGAATGATTTATTGTAGCATGGGTCCAATTAACCCATTTTTCATAACCTTAAAATTAGTCATATATCGTTTCAATACAAAACAAGTAAAGATTTGTCACCACCTTAAAACCCTTGAGGTATACTTTCGCCAGAAGATAGCTTCCACTAATTAAAGATATGAAAATTACATTTACTCCTTAGTGAGCCAAGCTATCTTTTTTTTTGTGAAATCTACTTTTTTCAGGTTCAAGCTTTGTCACTAGGTGGCTAGATTTCTATTCTTTTTATAGTTTAGAAATGTGCTAGGACAGATCCTCATGGTATGTGTGTGCGCGCATGTGAGTGTGATATAAGATTCATTTTTGTATGTGATTCCCCTGCGCCGCTTTGTATCCCCTTCTCTTATGGCTTTGCACCGTAAGATTTGCAAACCATCTCCAAGAGAGGGCTAAACAGGTTCCTAAAAGATAAATTTTAGGATTTCGATGAAAAACAGGCCTCTAACAAATTCCCAACCATAGTCCCAAAATTTACCTATGACCAAAATCAGGGCCAATCTGAGCCAAGACTTGGGAACGTGGACGCGCTCCCAATCCAACTAATCGCACGACTTTTTCTCTGCCTGCGCCATTTTTTGTCCGTCCGTGCCCTTTTCCCCTCTCGCGCATGTATGTGCGATGTTTACCCTCGCGTTTTCTTTCCTTCTTTCGTATTCTCTAGCTTCGGATGATACCACGCTCACGCCGTCTTCGATTCCTCGTCTAGGGTGCCGTATCTCCTCCATCCATGGCATGGGGTCCCGTGCTGCCTCCGTCGTCTCCTCCATCCAGATTTTGATGGTGAAAATCTGTCTCTCTGAAGTTAACAAATACCAATACCATTTCCTTATGAATTGTTGAATAAAATGGCTCCATGCTGCATTATTACGCAACCCTGCTGATATGTGCTTTCCCTTTTTGTTGCAGAAAGATTTCTTTTGTTCATTCGTGGTTGAATTACAGAGATTGCATAAAGATTGGCTTTACCTGGACACAGATTTTTAATATGTTTCCTTGGCTCAAAATTGTGGAACTTTAGGAGTCTATCATGTCTTGCTCTGTTCATTAGAATGTATGTGCTTTGTAGCGTGGAGGATGATGGCTTGGCAGTATAGTTTCGGTTTTCTGAAAATCAATTCGCTGTACAGAATGTAGAGTACTCCAACTTCAGCCTTGACTTTTTATATTCAGATTTATAATTTTAAGTACTAGTATATTTATACATTGATAGTTTATGATGTTCCTCTAAGATTTGATGGGTCAGAGTTTCTATGATTCTTGGACAGTTCAGTGTGAAGTCTGATTCATTTTCAGCTTAATGTGAGAACAAGGTATATATCCCTGTTGTCCAGTAATATAAAAAAATCAGTTCTATCTCTGTTGTGAAACTCCAAATTTTCAATTTTTGTTGCTTACTGATCATCAGATCATGTCAAACTTGTTGGTTTTTTTTTCGTGCAATCCATTTAGATGTTGTACTGCAGAGTGCAGACTGGAGTAGCTGAAGCCCCCATAAATAAAATTTTGTACTGATATGAGGAAGTGGACCGATTAGCATCTTTGGTCTTGAGATGAACTAATCCTGTCGATAGGGAGAGGAACAATCGGCTTGACACAGAACCTGATTGCTTAACACCAGCACTTGAATTTGGAGCAGAACTTGTCATGTTATGTGATAATAATGCAACTTTATGTTTCTCACATGTTCAGGTAAGGGATCACACCTTTGCCTTCTGTTTCTCTACACGTTGAAGCCGCCGGCGACGTACTATACCGGCGAACAGAAAACAGAGACAATGGCGATGACGCGATGTACTGTAGTGGTGAGGCCACCGCGAGAGAACGCTCTTATGCGTGGGGCGTATGAGATTGATATCAGTACCGAACCAGTCCACTCTACAACTAAAATATTGGGATCCAAATTTTAGGTGTCTCTTGGAGTATGAGGTGATTTTTAGGTCTAATTTGTTTTGGGATGGCCCCAATACAAGATTTTTAGGAGTTCAATATTACCACCATATTTGCTTGTTCCCTTAGTCTAACCCGCTTAATACATCCGCCTCACCCCAACTTGTGGCTAGTGGTGCCACTATCACTGTGATGATGCACTGCCATATATATCACCGGCCATCGATCAACTTCCTACCCCATGCAGCCATACCTATTATTGAAGCCCCCTTTGAACACATCCTTCTTTCTCTCTAAAATTTTCCTCCTCCGAACCCCTATCTCCCCCCCCCCCCAATACTAGCTAATCGGGTGTCCAAGTCAGTCTGTGGGCAATATTTATTTTTATTGAAAATATTGAGCACTAAAAGACGAATGAGAGGTTGACCACCACATCATTGCAAGGGGAGCTCGATTGATTCGCAAATTGGACTGACTTCAAACTTTTCAACCGGATTAATAGTCAACGACTTTGATAGCCTTTCCTTACAAGGTTTTTAATCCATCGCCCCATTATATTTTTCTTAAGTTTAATTACACTTAAAAACTTAATGAAAAATTAGAAACGACTTATAATTAAAACACAGAAGGGGTACCCTATATAGACTAAGTCAAAATATAAGCTTCCATCTATAAATGGCCAAATGGACCGCCCTGCACGGCCCAGCCTGAGCATGACCAAGGTACGGCCCGTGATCAGTCAGGCCAGCACCGGCACGGCCCGACCAACACGCCATGTCATGCCGTGCCCCGCCCACGGGTTGCATCTAAGCATGGCCCACAATAAGACTCGGGTCATGTCGTGTCGGCCCGAAGGCAAGATCAGCCTACCATACTCGTCCTTTTAATAAGTCTATTTTGGCTCCCTCATCTCTTTAGTCCGGCCACCGACGGGCTACGGCCTGCAAGAGCCAGGAATGTTGGGCCGCGGTTGTGCCGATTGTTGGACCATGCCGTGCTGGGCTGGCATGTCGTGTCAAGTAAGAGACCCAGAAACGGCCCGACGGTCGGGTCGGGTCGGGCCAGCACAGGCCTAACAACAGTCGAGCCGTGTCGTGTCTGGGCTGGGCCAAATCTTCATACCATGGGTCGGGCCGTCGGACTGCGGGCCTATTGGCCAACTATACTTTCACCCAAGTACCAAACGCCAATCTGAACGCCGCCGGCCGGCTGTCACGCATGCCTCGCGCAACGCATGCAGCCCGCGTGCTACTGGGCCAACTTGGGCCGCTTGAGACGTGCACCACACCAGTTCTCTTAGCGATTTGTTTTTCTTTTGCGTGGGTTTTTGCAAGCTGTTTTGAATAGATTTAAAATAAATTCGAATCCCTAGTTTGTTCTGCGCTTTTCGTTGCCAGAGTTTGATCACAACATCCAATCATCCATGACTAAAATGACCTGTCTTGTTTTGTCCCTAGAAAATTATCAAAACAAAGAAAAAAAATTCTAGAACATGCAAAATATGGTCACATAATTCCTTATTATAGCCTCGTTAACGTTCTACGGTGCTCCTGAAAGAGCGGATTTCAGTTGGAACAAAAAAGGAGAAATCTCTGGAGCGAGCGAGGATTAGGCAACAATTAAAGCTAAGATAGACCCGGAAAAGCTTACAATCTGCCGCCGAAAGAAAAGCACAAAAGGCATATGCACAAATTCTCGTCACTTGCGTCAAATTAATTTCTTGTAATTCACTCAACTCTATCAATTACGTATCTAGGCATCACTTCAGAATGGCCATGAATTAATTAATTAGTACTACCCAACAAAACTCCAAAGACTATCAATAAAATAATTCAAGCACTGTATTGGTGGGACAATTATTAACACGCTAATTAATTAATCATGGAAGGAACCCTTACAGGTTGAATTACAGAAAGCCCATCTAATTAATTACTGAGAATCAAAAACGAAATACATGCATGGTGACAACGATATCGATCTCAACGAAACAGAGAAAAAAAAAACAACGATTAAATTACAAGCCCTTAATTAATCACTACTTTTTTTTTAGTCGTCGCACTCTCTCACTGCTAGCTAGCCAGCTAGCATGTCTGCAGCTTCACTAGCTCTGAAGCTAGCTTGGCCACGTGGCGCGCGTACGGGCTGGACACGTCACGCCTTCTTCCTTCTTACGGCGACCCATGTACGCATGCACGCACTCATGCAGCTACCTTCTTCTCGCCGGCGCCGGCGACGGCGGCGGCGGTGGCGGCGGCGGCCTTGTCGTCCTCCTCAGGCGGCGCCTCTGCCGGCGGGGACTCGACGTCGACGGGGTGCACCTCGCGGGTCTTGACGACGTCGACGGCGGCAGAGAGCTTGGCGATGTTGACGACGTGCTCCTTGACGCCGGCGGCGGAGTGGTCGTCGTCGCCGGTGGCCGTCGCCGCCTCGACCTCCTTGGTCAGCACGGCCTTGGGCGTCGAGTTCCTGTACATGGCGTACAGCCCCATCTGGATGACGCCGAAGGAGAAGCCCAGCACGTTGGGAAGCTGTTCCATTTTGGATCACCATCAGAAATTAAAATCGGTTATCAGCTAGCCATAATCACTATAATTAAACAATCTTCCACAATTAGAAATAGAAATTAAATCGAGCAGCGGAAAATTTAGGAAGAAGAACGGGTCGAATCGGAGCTACTCACAGCGACATATTTGTCCTTGATGAGGAGGCCGTAGAGGAACCAGACGACGGCGCTGATGGTGAGGGAGAAGGAGAGCGAGAACGGCATGAACTCCACGCTCTTGGTGCGCACCACCAGCCTCTGCAGAGATAGCAAAAGCGGTGCGTAAATATGTGCATCCTTAGTTGGTGCAGAGACCGAAAGTTATTATTGTTTACAGGCAATTCTAGGGTTTCTTACGATGATGCTAAGGGGGGCGACGAAGACGCTGACGGAGAAGCCAACGCAGACCCAACCAAGAACCACGATGCGGCGGTCGCCGGCGGAGAGGAGGAGGGTGAGGAGGAGGATGAGGCCGAAGACGCCGACGTTGACGAGGAGGAGGAGCTTGGCGGTGAACATCTTGGCCTTCTTGGGGGCGTAGACGAGGTAGACGGCGATGTAGATGGTCTCGATGACGCAGCCAGCGGAGTTGATGGTGATGAGGAGGCACTCGTCGGACTTGAGCAGCGCGTAGTAGATCCACAGCATCGCGCTGAACAGCGCCACCACGTAGGGTACCGACTGGAACCCCTGCGTCGACTTGCTCTTGTAGATCCTGTAGAACGTCGGCCTGCAAGACATCCAAGCAATTGGTTAATTCTTTATATTTTTCCTTGTATTTACTAGCAATGTTAATTGATAGGATTAGCTCTAGACATGTGTATTGGTTGTCTACATCTTAGTTATACAGAGACGGGGAGTGTTTTTATCTGAAGAAAAAGGTAATTTTATCATTTTTGATAAGGTACCAATAGTACCACATTAATTTTATGGTGGTGTATAAGAAATTTTAGTGTAAAAGGTACTTTCTGGAGCAATGTAAAATTTCGCTAAAGAAAAGAAAATATCCGGATGTGTGGGACTTACAGTGGGGCCAGGTAGGTCATGAAGGAGATGATGTTGCCTGCAAAGAGAATAAAATAGAAATCATATGTTAGGATCTTGTTTAATTTGATTAACTAAAAACGAAGTGCATGCATAAAATGCGACGGACGTTATAATTAAGCGAGTGAACCATGCACAGCAACGTGACACAAGGAGATACGTAACGAACACATATGCATCTATCCTTTTAATAATTGTGTGGGTGACGTCATGTTACACTGATCAGGCCGGGCAAGATATTGGAGCCCCTTTTCTTTTGAGCTCCTTTTGTCTTGGCTCTTTCTGTGCCTGGCTAGGCTTATCACAGCAATGCATGTGTAGTATGTATGTATATCTAATCTCCTCTAATGATGAATCAAATGTTTCTTATCTTTAGTTTGGTTCTAAAAGAGGGGGCTTTGCAATAATGAGGGTGGTGGAACAAAAAGAGTAAAGGAATGAAAGATCACAATATTGTGCTAACTACAAGGGAAATCATATTTTGCCAAACAATTTATTTGGCTATGCATGGCCCCTCTAATGTAAACCACTCACAATTGCATCCAAAAGTGCAAAGTCGATCCACTAGCTGCCTTGCTATAATATAGTAGTTTTGGATGAATTGGTAGGAAAAATATAGTAGCTTTGGCAACAAAAGTGGAACATGGAAAAGTACATGATTAAAAATGTAGAGAATAATAACAACAAAAGTAAATAACCATGCAAGATTAATTCTCAAGAGAATTCCTTGGATCAGATCAAAGGCAACACACCTAGGAGACCAAAGGCGAAGGCCCAGGGATGCTGAAGAGACATGCCAGCCATTGCAGCAAGATCTTGATTAACTAGCTAGCTCGGAATATGAGAGAGAGAGAGAGAGTTTGGTGGGAGGAGATCAATGAGGCACAGTACACTACTGTTCTTGCTTGCAAGTAACAAGAGGATGATCAGGCAATAAAGCAGAGATCAAAACTTAATTCCCTCTTCTCAATGAGAAGAGAGAAGAGCTGGTAATCAGCTACTACTTGAGTTTGCTTTGCTTGAAGGCTTGATGAGCTTAGCACCTGGTTGGAGGGGGTTTATATAGTGCTAGGAAGGAAGAAGGGAATGAAAAGGCACACATGACCAGCTGCTGACATGCATGCCCTTATGGTGTGTGACCCTGGACACCAATAGGCAATATAGCTGCACACACAAACTATTCCTGATCAATCACAGCCATGGGATTGATTAAATTAGATACAAGATAATCATCAGCACCCATGCATGACAGAAAGTGCCAATCTGCTAGCTTTTTTTTGTTTCCTTCATAACTCTGTCCTCAATGCATGGGATTAGTAACATTGTTGTGTACTCCAAGTTGTCCTAGTTAAGGGATCTAGAGTTGGGCAAGCTATAGTTATTAGGTAATTAACTAAGCTAGCTGCCTTAGGCTTGTATAGTGGAATGAATGGTGAGAGCTTAGAGAAACTGATGAGCCGCAAAGGAGCACACCTCCTTTAATTCCCCAACGGACGATCTGAGACCAGCTGGCTCTAATTAACCCACTTGTAAAAAATCAGAATGCCAGTTGCCTAAAATTAGAGACAAAATCGATCAAACTCTGCATTTCTTTTTAAGATAGTACAAGAGTGATTTGCACTTTGCAATTGTACGTATATTCGTTGTAATTTTCAATTTTTTGACAGCTGTTGGCTATATACACTACGCCCCCTTTTTAACTAATATTTGGATGATATTATTTAAAAAAAGGGACGTAATGTATATATCTATCAATAACTGTAGAGTTATTATATGGTGAGTTATCAGTTGGAGTGGCACACACACGGTTACTTTGCAATATGGGCACACAAAAAAGAAGCGTGCCAGGCACAGGCCAGAACACTCTACGTGCCAGATCATTCAAGCTTGGCCATGACTGTTACACGTCACTGCACCCTTGCTTTCTTCCATGGCTTTCTTCCTCAGCACATAACCACAAAATTTTTTGCTTGCTTTCTCCATGTATGCTGCTACTGATAATTCCCCTAGCTAGCTTGGACTGCTTTATTTGCTTCAATTAACAGTCCTGCATTTAGGGAGAGAGAACATAATTGTTCTTCCTTTTTTTCATGATCTTTTTTCCGGGTTTAAAGCTTGGTATCTAATGAACCCAACGCATATGCATGTTAATGAATATATAATTAGTTGATAAATTCAGAAGCTATTTACTCCATCCGTTTCACAATGTAAGTCATTCTAGCATTTCTCACATTCATATAGATGTTAATGAATCTAGATAGATATATATGTCTAGATTCATTAAAATTAATATGAACTAGAAAGAAAGCCCGCGCAGATGCGCGGGCATGCTATTTATTGCTCATAAAAGAAATGCTAAAAGAAAGCCTACCTCATTGTATTCATTATTAGTACGATAAACTAAATATAATCAGAAACCACTAAAAAAATAAATATTTATATTGTGAAATATATTATAGACTTTGATATCTGAATGTCATATTAAAAAAATTCACTTTGTCCCAATTACATCTACACTCACCAATCACGACTATTTAGTATCTTTGCCTTGTAAGTTGAGTCCCTTTTTATATATGAAATTACATTAGTATGACAAAAATAAGCATAATACATTATTCATATAATAACAAAATCATTTCCACTGTGTGGCAGTTTAGGAGCATTTGTACGAGTGCCATGTGATAGCCTAAGTACGTTTTTTCAACTTCACATAACTAAATGGCTTAACTAAACTAAAAGAAGCTAAATTCGACTATATTTCTCCTAAGTCGAAAGAAAAGATAGGAAATTATCGTCCCAATAAAAAGATTATTTGGGTGATATATCAAGTTTAGCGGTGCATGTTTTTGGTAACTTATGATGGTTTAATTTATGTTGAGTTTGATTTTAAGTTTTTTTTAACTATTTGGATAACATGTAAATTAAGGGGTAGAACATAGTCCCACGTGCCTCTTTTTAATCAAAACATAGCGTTAACCTAGATAATTTTTAGAAAGCTGGTAGTTTTTGAATTCCATTGTCCAACAATTTGCCTTAAAATATCTTGGTAGTAAGAATCATATGAAAAAAATATTTTCTCGAGCAATAATCCCTCACCAACAAATGAGTCAATTTGTGTTTTGGTATTTCATCCCTGTATTATAGATGTAATATAGCTAGGCATGTATGTAGGGTTAATATCGAAAATATGTGTGTTAATATGGGTTTTGATATTTTTTCTCTTCTATTATAGATCTAATTTAGTTATAATTTATGTTGTCAGTTTTGTTTTACTAACTATAAGACTTTGGATGAGAATAATATGAAAATGGATATAGTTTAGTTATATGCGATATTTTTAAATAAAAATGTAGTTAATTAATACATTTGTAAAATTTCTACAGAAAAGATGAGTGTTCAAGGTTCGTAAATGAATATAGTGTCTGTTATGAATTACTTAAAAACAAACAAAGGGAGTAGTTAGTAAGAATATTTGGATGAGCAAGACATAAAGGACTAATATGTTTCCATGTGATATTTTTTAATTAAAGTATAGTTAATGTGGGATGTACTCGTAATATTTTTCTCTTGCGTAATAGATCTAATATGTGTTGTGGTGTGATATAAATGCAATGGCGATGAGACCAGAGTGTTTTTCTGTTTGTGGTAGCAACAAACTGGAAGAGCACTATATAACCTCTGAACTAATATGCAATTAAAGGTGATTAACTCACTAAGGATAAAATTACCTTTTTAAAATAACATTTATGATGTTAGGCCATTCATCTTCTTTAAAATCCTTAAAATCCATGCAGATTTTTTCTTAGGAGGGTATCGAAGCACATCTCATATTATAGAAATATTTTTATTCGGTGAATAGTAGGAGTACATATGTACACGGGATTTTTTTAGCTTTTTCACTGGTAAACAGTACTACTATGTATTTATATGTACACGGGATAATTTTTTGGGTTTGGGAGGCATTATTTTTTTTAATAGATCTGATCTAATGATACAAAATAATCCACCGATTTAAGTGAAAATCGAAGGTTGGATGTTTTGTTTTTTTAGAATTTGTAGGACTTCCTATTATAATTACATATTTTTTTTACTAATACAAATATAAATTTTAAACCAACTGCACACTACTCCCTTTGTAGCTTATATATCGAATATATACTATGTGGAGAAAGTCATAGCTGCTACCTTTCTTCTCCAACGTGAGCCCCTTCGTATTTGGCCATGGTTTGCGTGCGTTTCCTGCATGCTTGCTTCTGTGGTGTGCTATTAGCAACTTATCTACCGTGCTAGGGTATTACAAATGAAAATAAATATGAAAGGAAAAAAAATAGGAAGTTAAAAAAGATGGGTATATATGTACGTAACCTGTGAACTAACAGGGTGAGGGAGGCGTACGTACGTACATGCGGGAAGATGAGAGGGGGAACTAATTTTTTTAATCTAATATAATCTAATGGTCTAAAATAATGGATCCACTAGTTTAAATGAAAATCGACGGCCAGATGTTTCTAATATATTAAAATGCCACGTGGCAGCATAGGAGTGTTTTTAGAAGTCCCGTGTGGCGGCTTGAGAGCGTTTGTAGGAAGTTTAATGGACTTTTAGTATATAATAGAAGATAGATGTGGAAAATAATAGAATGACTTACATTGTGAAACAGAGGTAGTAGCTAGCTAGCTAGCTAGGATAGCGCATATGCAGCTTGTACTGCTTCAGTGACGGTAGCTTTGACCGTGTTTGACCGTTGTTCCAAGCATGCGAATTTGATTAAATCTACTAGCTATAGGGCCCTGATTGACATTAAGAAAGTAATTAATCGGAGGCCACTGGGAGATGCAAAGAACGGCTGGAGGTTGTGCAGATGTTTGCAGTGATCGATCGGCTGCCAGCAGTTTGATATCTTCCTTTTTGGAAAAAGATATATAGCTCTCTCTGTTGCATGCATCTGGTGGTGTACTCCACTCTGACCTTAGCTTATGATCATCGATCTCTCTTTAGTTTGTAACCGTGTTTGACGTCGGCGAGGACGTATATTCTCCATGGGAATTGTATAGAATTTCGAGTGTTATTTTCTTCAGGAATATCTCCTTTAGTTTATTAGTCAACACTGTTGTGCACACTATAATACCCAACTATGGAGTTGTAGTACTTTTTAACTAGTTGTCTGACATGCATCGACTTGGTATATATATATTGAAATAGGATTGATTGTCATGATATTTTTCTGATACTATCATTTTTACGGTCAAAGTATTTTAAATACTGATGTATTTATGGCACACATCCTTCATATATAAAAGCACCAAATATGAAAAGAATTCATCAAGTGGGAGTATACACTACTTGTTTTATATATAGTACACTGTAATTTAGTTAAGCTAGGAATATGTTCTTCTCCCAAGTTATGAATTAATATATATCGACTGTGTATGCAAATTGAATCAACAAAACCTAGCCAAGTGTCGCAAACAAGTCTTAATTAATCTGGGGACATGATTAATTTAAAGGTTCTTCAGATGATCTCCCATCCAAGATGTGCCCCCACCTTTAATTAATTTCCCATTTTCCCTGATGACATGCAAGCTAGGGCACATGGATTTCATTGCCTGAATTCCTGAAAGCCGTCTTGTATTACATCGTACCATCAGCAGCATGCGTGAGCCCTTTTGTTTTTCAGGTGCTTTCCAGTGCACATCTCTGCTTCTTGCGTATACAGCACTACTGACAATATATCATTGCAAATTAATCATCGATAGGTACGTGATCAATCTGGCTGCAATCTTTGTAATTAAGCCGGGCTGAACCTGCCTGACTGACGATCGAACAATGCAGCCAGCACTAGTACTCTACTAATTAGTCTAGGGCTCACCACAACGGCGACATGAATGGATCAAATCTTAGAGAAAAAAAAAGAGAAAAGAAAAGGAGTATAACCATTATCCATCTGTATCTGAACAGTTTTAATTAATTTCGTCCCTAAATGTTTTTTTAAGGACAATAATTGGCTACTGAAAATTGGTATAACCATATTATCTGGTTTAACTCTTTTTCA